TGGCTGCATAAGGGGTGGGAACTGTTCATTAAGTCCCCTGTTACAGTGCCCTGGGGGTTTGTGTTCCACTTTGAAGCGTCACACAGTAGACCTTTTTAGTCAGACCTTGGGGAATAATTCCTTGCATCACTGCTGTATCTTCCACCATTTCCCCCGACTTATCATCCAACTCCTTGCCATTTTCTCCATAGCCCAAGTTTTGTAAAGCCTCCTTGTCTTTGCACGGTTTGTTTTTTCTGTTGGGTTATCTTTCCTTCAGTGCCACTCCCGCCTTTTTCACACGCCATCAGGAGTCTCCTCCTAATCCCCTACTCGAGTTTGTTTCCACAGAAGCTTGTAACCACCTCAGTTGTAGGGTTTTCACATTATCTGTCTCTTTATTATACTTGGCGGCTCTTTGAGGGTATGGATATTATCTTATAAATTGTGTCTTTGGTGCTTAGTAAGGTGCTCAATACATTTTTGTTAAATGACTGGAGAAATGAAGTTATGACCCAAAACAAAGCACCATTTGCAATTATAAAGGGGAAATGTTTGAGATCAGTAATTCTGTTTCTCTTTGTTGATCACCATAGAATTGTTTGCTCCCTTTGCAGACTGTAGAAAAATACTACAGCTTGCTTAATTTTATTTGACTGAAATGACTGTATAGGGACATTTTCTATCTCTGAGCTAGGGCAGACTAACAGTCTTTCAGATCAGCAAACCCTCCTGGTGATCCCCTAGGAAACTACTTAGGTCAGTGTGGTGCTAATGTTGTGTGGTGGATTTAAAAGGGTTCAGCTCCAATGACTGTATCATTCATGATTTTATCCAAATCCTCTTTTTTTCCTTAGGGAAACTGTTTACATGTTTATCACTTACTGTGTAAAACTGTACATTTTGATTTTCCTAAAATTATCTCTGAGCCACTAGGGCTATTCCTTGGTACAAGTATGAAAAGATATGGCAAGTAAATCTGTCTTCATGTTTTCCAAACCCTTCTTGATTTTATACAACAAAATAGTTCTACTTTTGGCCTGTCTTTTCACACTGGGGAGGGCTAGTGTTTTAGTCCTTTCATGCAAATATACTGGTGTCTTTGATCATCCTCTCACTTGGATTGACTCCAGTTCTAGAATGAATTTCTTGTTGTATGGTGATCCTAAATCTGTGAATTAGGAGAGAATTTCTTCAGATTGTCCTTCATTATTGGCTTTATTTAATCTCATTCTGTCTGTATATTTCACTTTTAATTTTTATTATAATCCTCTATTTCTTGCTAGGAATGTACAAATTATGTATCAGAGTTGTACAAATTATGTACAAATTATGTATAGTCCCTGTGTTTTAAAATTACATATTATATGTGGGTTTTTTTTCTCGAGTGGAGTTTGATATAGCAATATCTTGTTCCATTTTTATTACCTCCTCAAATATAGACTGTTAGTTATAATTATTATTTTCTACCATTTATTACTGAAAACACATCTTAGTTGGACTCATGTACCTTTCTAAAAGTAATAATAATAAAAAAAGATTCTTGTAGTGCTCCATTGGAGAGATATATAATTATGCATTCTAGCTAAGAATTACATAGGTAATTTTGAGATTATATTCCAGAGAAAACTAGGTTTAGAGTCAACTAACATGTATTTAGTGTTTACTTGTGTCAAGTGCTCTGGGTGATATCTCAGGTAATGCATTGTTTTGTGCCTTTGATCTTAGTAAACTTTATACTCAGGGAAAAACTGATCCATCGAAAGGTAACAAACCATCATCTTTTAAATTAACCTACTTTTAAAAATAAGCACTTATTGCATTTCTGGGATTTGAAGAAACAGTGTAGTTAAGATAATCAGAACAACACTTGCAGATACCGAATTCTGTTTTAAAGTAATTATATCATTTTTTAGTGTCAAAATTAATTTAACTGACCATGTTAAGAAGCATTAAATATTATTATCAAAATGATGTGTTATCTGTTAATTCAATTGACATATATGCAAAAAGATGTCAAGATGATAGACTCAGGCACTGTTATTTTCTGGACATATCTTTTAACCAGGATGTGGCATACAGATGATGTTCTAGTGGTGCTCTGAGGGATACCATTCACTCTTTTCTGCCTGCAGAGCCGTTTCTTGAGGCTGTTCTGAGATGTTATGTCTTCTCTATAGCTTTTCATGATCCCCTTTGTTCTTCTCTTTGTTCTGATGCTACTCTGTATACATATATTTTATTATAGGTATTCGCTTCTCAGACTGCATTTGGGTATCCTTCATTGAATTTCTATTATATGTAAATGCATATAGTTTCCTGGAAGAAAACTATTCTTAATCCTTTAGAAAGTATGTGCTAGCTGGTCCACTTACCTGGTTAATTGTAGTTGCTGGTTTGTCTGCTGCCTGGGAATCACAACGCAGGCCTTGATTAACTTTCTGCGAAACAAGGATATGGACTAGGGATCCCTAAGCTCTCCTGTATCTCTACAATGTTGTCATAATATGATTCTAATCCATCACTAGAAATGCATTATGAAATCGTTAATTAATGTTTGCAGAAGGCTTACAGAACTTTTAGTGAGAAGTAGATACTTGTGTTTAGTGTCAATTAATAGATGGCTTATTAACCTTTTTTTTCTTTTTTAGCCCCAAGAACATTTTCCCAAATATATTGGAAAAATGTACTTTCAAGAATAAATTGCAATCTGGTGAAATATTTTGATGGCTTAATAAAATTTAGGTTTTAAAACAAGCATCAGTATAGTGACTGTACAAACGAAAAACCTATGCCTTGACCCTTGAACAAGGAGGGGTATTGGTTCCAGGGTCCTCTGTGGATGCTGAAGTCCCGTAGTCAGCGCTGCATATCCGGTTCTGCATCCACGGATCCAGCCAGTCTCGGATCTTGTGGTACTGTAGTATATACGGGAAAAAAACCTGTGTAGAAGTGGACCGGGGAAGTTCAAACCTGTGTCGCTCAAGGGTCAACTGTAGTTACAATAAAAAAAAAGCAGCAGCCATGTATAGTTTTAATAATTTTAAAAAATACTTTAAATATGATTGCAAGTTTTTAATTCCTACAGCTTCCTTGTGAAGGAGGCAAGATAAGTACTCTTCTGCTCTACGGAGGTGAGACCTAGAGAGGTTAAATGCTTATTCATTCCTTCCTAAAAAGGTATAGAGTGCCTATATATGGGTACAGTGATGAATAATTTACCCTATTTGACTTTGAGAGCAGGAGAGACAGGTTTATAAACAAATATATTTGTTGATAATATAGTTAATTATGGTAGAAACACAGAAAATGGTGCACGTACCTCTGGGGTATTGTTTGGTGAGGCCTCACAGAAGAGGTGATTTTTAATGCATTCTCATTATAGACGTTTGCCAGGGTGAAGAGAAGGGCCTTGCAATAAAAGGGAATGAACATATGTAGAGACCCAGAGTTATAAAAGGGCCTGGGTATTTGAAGAACAGGGTCCAGTTCAGTGCAGCTAGAACATTACTGTCCAATATAAATATAAATATTATGTAAGTTAAAAATTTCTAATAGCTATATTAAAAAGTAAAAAGAAATAGGTGAGATTAATAATAATGTATTTTATTTAATCCAATATATCTGAAATATTTATGGTTTTTTTTACACTTAAGTATGAAGTAGTTGATTTTCAAGATCAAATCAGGTATATATTTTACATGTACAAAACATCTCAGTTTAGACTAGCCACATTTCGAGTGCTATGTGTGTGTGCCTGTGAGAGAGAGAGAAAGGGAGAGAGAGGGAGAGAGAGAAGAAATGAGAATGAGAATGAAAATGTGTTCACTCTAGAGGGGCAGGTAGAGAGATGAGGTTGAAGTGGTTGTTGGAACCATATTTTGAAAGGCCTTGTATGCTGCCTGAATTTGGAGTTTATGCTTATATAGTAGTTTATGACCGTGCTTCTCAAATTATCTGTGGTGAAGGACCAGATTTTTAAATTTAGAATTTGTTGCAGACTGATACTTTTGAAAAATGTAATAGTGAAGTAGAAAAGTAAAATGAAGTATCATTTTTTAGTCATTAGATTTGACAAATGTATAGTTGTTCTGTCAGTTATCTATAAAGGTGTCTAAGCCAGTGCTATTCAACAGAACTTTCTATGATGATAGAAATGTTCTTTCTGTGCTGCCCAATACAGCAGCCACTAGCCCATGTGGCTATTGAGCATTTGAAATGCAGCTAGTATGGCTGAGAAGCCGATGATTTAATTTAAATTGTAATAACCACGTTGGACTATTGGCTACTGTGTTGCACATTACTGAATATGTTTACTCTTAATCTTTGTGTTTGTCTTTCGCGGACTTGTGAAAAACAATTGTGGACTGGCATGGGTCCACAAACATACTTTTAGCACTGTTCACAGCGTGGTCTCTAGGGCTGGAAAGCCTTTGTGTGTCTTTGGCAAGTTACTTAATCTCTCACTACCCCAGGATCCTCAGTTCTAAAATGAAGGCAATAATAATAAACTGTTTCATAGAACTGTTGTGAGGATTAAATGTGGAAGGGTTGGGGTTAGGGAGAGCGTCAAGAAGAGATGATGTCTCTGAAAGGGCCTTGAAGGATAAGTTCAATAGGCAAACAGGAGAGAGCATATCAGGTAGAGGGAACTCTGCAACATTTGGATCATACTGTGTTTTGAAGAAGGGGTAACACTGCCCTAGCCCTATCACTGCTCCCTCTATTTCTTCCTCTCTTTCCTAGTTATCTTCTTATTTTAATCTTTTAGCATATTTTAAACTGATTGCTAGGTGACATGTGATTTTGTAGTTTTAATACACGCTACCTGTCAATAAGGCCAATCATTGCCTCTTTTCTTCTTCATTCCTAGGAGTTATGGTGCCTGAATTTGATGGTAGAAATTGGGCAACAGTTGGGAAGGGGAATCCTGTTTGAAAAGCAGTCCCTGGGTTATGGGCAGATAGCTGTGAGATTCTTTTTCCCTAACACATATTTCTTACTTACCTTGATTATTTTAGGAAGAAAACAGACTGGGAAAAAAAAATGAAGTTCCATGTCTCCGTATTTGTTGGTGTTGTTCACTTTTTATCCCTGACCTCTGGGAAAGCTGTCTATGGGAATGGCATCTCTCAGAGGACTTTTCAAGAAATAAAAGAAGAAATAGCCTGCTATGGAGATGTTGCTAAAGCAATCATCAACCTTGCTGTTTATGGGAAAGCCCAGAACAGATCCTATGAGCGATTGGCACTTCTGGTTGACACTGTTGGACCCAGACTCAGTGGTTCCAAGAGCCTAGAAAAAGCCATCCAAATCATGCACCAAAACCTGCAGGAAGATGGGCTGGAGAATGTCCACCTGGAGCCTGTCAAAATACCCCACTGGGAAAGGGGAGAAGAGTCTGCTGTGATGCTGGAGCCGAGAATTCACAAGATGGCAGTTTTGGGTCTTGGCAGCAGCATTGGGACGCCCCCAGAAGGTATTATTTTGCCTTTTCAAGTCAATTTGCTGTGTTCTTTACTAAAACTAATGCCATGTGACATAACTGATTATAGTGTGCATGATTCATATTATAACTGGGTGATAAAAAGGAAGATAGAATCATTTTGCATTCCATTGGCTTGAGTTCCTTACTCTTACACTCCTTTTTTCTTCCTTTTTTTCCTCTCTGTCTTTTCTGAAAGCGTCCCTTTTTAAAATGAAGCATCTACAGCTATTGGTCCATGATACTTATGAACTGTATCACTTAATAATTTCTATCTAGTATATAACATTAGTATCATTCTGTAGAGAATTGAGATATGTGTAAATAGGTTATAAAAACTATGACTTCTTCTAAGTGGCCTCAGTGTACAGAATTTCTTAGAATTAATGAAATATGGGACAGAGCCTTGCACATTGAATTGATCTGAGGCAATTATTTTTACAGAACCTGAGGTCTCTAATGCAGGGGGTTGTCTAGGGTGGAGTTCTGTCTTTACTTATGAGCACTCTGGCTCAGCCTCATCAGACAATGTAAATGCTGAGATCAGGGATATAAAACCAGTCCACAGTGAGCTATCAGTTGGTGTTCGACTATTCATGGACTGTGCATGTATTCACAGACTATCTTCCTATGGTAAAGGAACTACAGTCGGTCCTTGAACAACGCGAGAGTTGGGGCACCAACCCTCCACGCAGTTGAAAATCCGTGTATAGCTTACAGTCAGCCCTCCATCTATACTGTTTGCTTCTTCTGTATCCGTGAGTTTCTGCATCTGCATATTCGCTAGCCATAGATCATGTAGTACTGTTGTATTGACTGTTGGAAAAAAATCCACGTGTAAGTGGACCTGTGCAGTTAAAACCTGCATTGTTCAAGGGTCCACTTTAGTTTATAAAAAAAAGCTAGTTGAGCTTCTTTAAAACGTTTATAGAAACGTTTGGCCTTCTCTAATGCCAAGAGAAACACCCAGTAGAGAAGCAGATGGTCAGCTTTTTAAAAACATCTTTATTGAGATATCGGGACTTCTCTGGGGGTCCAGTGGTTAAGACTGTGCACTTCCACTGCAGGGGGTACGGAACAGTTCAATCCCTGGTCAGAGAACTAAGATCCCGCCTGCCTCACAGCCCAGCCAAAAAAACCCCCCAAAACAAAGAACAAAGCACTTTATTGAGATATAATTCACATACCATAATATTCACCCATTTGAAACGTGCACGTCAGTGGTGTTTAATATATTCACAGAATTGTGCAACCACCATCACTATCTAATCAGAGAACATTTCGTCACCCCCAAAAGAAGCTTTATATTCATTAGCAGTTATGCTCCATCCCTTTCCTACCACCCTCCTAAGCCCTAGGTAGCCACTAATTTGCTTTCTGTCTTTAGAGATTTTGCCTATTCTGCATATTTCACATGAATGAAATAATACACTATATTTTCTTTTGTGACTGGCTTCTTTCATGTAGCATGTATTCCAGGTTCATCCATGTTGTAGCATGTATCAGTGCGTAATTCATTTTTATTGTTGAATAATTTCCCATTTTACAGATATACCGTATTTTAGTTATCCGTTGATCAGTTGATGAGCATTTGTTTTTTTTTTCCCCACCTTTTGGCTATTATGAATAATGCTGCTATAAACATCCATGCATAAGTCTTTGTATGTACATATATTTTCATTTCTCTTGGGTATGTACCAAGGAGTGGAATTGCTTGGTTATATAATAACTCTATGTTTAACTTTCAGGGGAACTGCCAAACTGTTTTCCAAAGTGACTGGACCATTGTACATTTTCACTGATGTTTTCTAATTTTTACACATACTTGTCAACACTTGTTATCTGTCTTTTTGGTTACAGCTGCCCTAGTGGGTATGACATGATATTCATTGTGGTTTTTATTTGCACTTCTCTAATGACTAATGATGTTGAGCATCCTTCCATGTTCTTATTTGCCATTTGTGTATCTTTTTCAGAGAAATGTATACTCACATCCTTTGGCCAGTTTTTAATTGTGCTATATGAATTTTTATTATTGAATTGTGAAAGCTCTTCATGTATTCTGGTTGGAAGTCTCTTATCAGTGTGATTTACTAAGGTTCTTTCCCATTCTATGGATTTTTTTTTTTTAACTTTCTCGATGGTAGTATTTGCTGCAGAAATGTCTTTAATTTTGAATTAGCACAATTTATCTAGTTTTTTTCTGTTGCTTGTGCTTTTGGTGTTATATCTAAGAAACCATTGCCTAAACCAACGTCACAAAGATTTATTCCTAAGAGTTTTATTTATTCTTCTAAGAGTTTTATAATTTTAGCTCTTATATTTAGGTCTGTGAGTTAATTTTAGGTGTGAGGTAGGAGTCCAACTTTTTTTCTTTTGCTGTGGTCATTCAGTTGTCTCTGCATCATTTGTTGCAAAGACTATTCTTTCCCCATTGAACTGGATGTATTTCATTAATTGATTTTCAGATGTTAAACCAACCGTGCATTCCTGGGATAAATCCCATTTGGTTATGGTGTATAATCTTTTTTTATATGTTACTGAATTCAGTTTACTAGTATTTCGTTGAGCAGTTTTACATGTGTATTCATAAGGGATATTGGCCTGTAGTTTTATTTTCTTTGTGTGATGTCTTTGTCTGGTTTGGTATCAGAGTAATTCTGGCCTCAAAGAATAAGTTGAAAAATATTATGTTGTCTTCTGTTTTTCAGAAGAGTTTGTGAAAGATTGGTATTAATTCTTTAAGTTTTTGGTAGCATTCACTAGTGAAGCCATCTGGTTCTGGGATTTTCTTTGTGGGAAGATTGTTAATTATTACTTCAATATTTTTCCTTGGTATAGATCTATTCAGATTTTCTATTTCTTTTTGAGTCAGTTTTAGTAGTTTGTGTCTTTCTAGGAATTTATTAATTTTATACAAATTATGTAATTTTTTGGCATACAGTTATTTATAGTATCCACTTACAATTATTTTTACTTTTGTGAGGATAAGGATTCAAATTATTGTTTGGTGTCATTTGCTTTCTGCCTGAAGAACTCTCTTTAGTTTGTTTTTCAAAGCCAGTCCACTAGCAGAGAATTCTCTAAGCTTTCATCCATATTTAGTTCTTTATTTAATCTTCATTTTTGAAACACAGTTTTACTGGTTATAAGATTCTTGATTCACAGCTTTTTACTTCCAACACATAGAATTTGTCATTCCATTGTCCTCTGGCTTCCATTGTTTCTGATGAGAAGTTAGCTGTTAATATTACTGGAATTCCCCTGTACAGGCATACCTTGGAGATATTTGGTTTGGTTCCAGACCACTGTAATACAGTGAGTATTGCAGTAAAGCGAGTCACATGAATTTTTTGGTTTCCTAGTGCTTATAGAAGTTATGTTTACACTATACCGTAGTTTATTAAAGTGTGTAATAGCAGTATGTCTAAAACAATGTACATACCTTAAATAAAAAATAATGCTGTTGGGGAAATGGCACCAATAGACTTTCTCAACACAGGGTTGCCACAACCTTCAATTTGTAAAAAACACAATATCTGCAAAGCACAATAAAATGAGGTATGCTCCTTGTGACAAGTCATTTTGCTCTTACTGATTTCAAGATTTTTTTCTTTATTTTTTGTTTTCAACATTTTAATTTTGACATATGTAGGTGGGAATTTCTTTGCTTTTATCTTGCTTAGGGGTTGTTGAGCTTCATGTATAGATTAATGTTTTTCATCAATTCGGGAAGTTTTCAGCTTTTTCTTACTATGAATATATTTTCTATCCCTGTTTTATTCTCTTTTCCTTCTGGTACTTCCATTATTGAGTATGTTGGTGCACTTAAAGGTGTCCCACATTTCTCTGAGGCTCTGCTCGTTGTTCTCCACTTTTTTTCTCTCTGTTCTTCAGATTGCATAATCTGTATCAATCTATCTATTAAGCCTAGCTTAATAATATTTTCCCCTGTGTCAGAATAGCTTATTTTTCAGCCAGTATTTGGTTAGAGGTTGTGCTTAAGCCTCTTGTGCCAGTAAGGCTTCTGCCCTTTGTTGATGGATCTGTGTGCAGCTTGGAAAATGTTTTCAATCTGACCCATGTCCGGTTTTTGATTGTTCCTAAGTAGGACCATGTGGATAGCCTTCCCAACCCCCAGGGTTTATTGTGATCCAGGGAGGGTTTTTCTTGGTCGCTTTTTCCTCCCTGGTTCTTTTTGTTAAACTTCTGATTGTTCTGCCGTTTTGCTTGCTGTTAGCAGTATCATAAAGCTACCAGTACCCCCCAACTTGTTCTCTACCAAGCTCTCCATCGTTTCCAACAACACCCTTAGGCATGGGATCCTTTATGTTCTGTTCCACATAAAGTCACTACCCTGGTTAAGAACTGCAAAGCTCTTCATCCTCCTGGGTTGCCTCTTCCCTGGGAGTTCCCAGGAGCTAGGCATAGTGATAGTGGGCTGCTACCCCAGAGTGATATCCCTGGCAGGTGCTAGAAGGGGATGGTGGTAGCTACTGGTCTTTTCAGCTTGCCTCTCCCAGCATGAGACCTCTGCCTATGAATGAGCTAAGATAGCAGTGATCAGGGTCCCAGTTTTCTCATGGCTATACTTGGGGTAGGACTTCCACCATACAAGTAGGGGCTGGGTAGAGGAATGGGGACCTAGTCCTCTTGGAGTGGAGTGGCCATAATAGAGTTTCTATAACATGCAGTTGGGGATGGGAGAAGGAAGCAGGTGATGGCCAAATGCTACAGACGCTCATTGTTCTAACTTAGGTTTAGTATATTTTCTTGAATGAATGTTTCTCCACTTGCTGTATGCCCTTAGGACAGTTTTGAGAGACTGTAAGTGATTTTTTAAAAATATTTTTTCCCAGTTAAATGTTTTGTAGGGAGGAAGATCTGCCAAGTTTCTCACCGTACCATTCTGGAAGTACCACTGGGACGGCTAGTTTTGGTCTCTCTGAGGCTGTGTGAATAGGTGGTAGAGTCCTCTAAGGTGTTAGGGACCC